CTGTATATTAATCACTGATCAAGAAAACTTCACCACCAAGATTTTATTTTATATACAGTACAGAGGTGTTGAGCCCTAGTGATTTCTGTCGCTTTTTGAGGGGCTGGTTAGTCGTTCCAATGATGGGTTTAATTTATGGCTTTGTGTAGTGAGGATATGTGTTTCTGTCTGTCTGGCTGTTTGTGTGTATTGTATAGGTCTGTGTGTTTGTTTCTGTCTGTATTGTATATGTCTGTGAGTGTGTTTGTTTCTGTGTCGTCTGTCTGTATATTTCTATGTGTATTTTTCTCTCAGTCTGTTTCTGTCTAACTGTCTGTCTGTCTATGTCTCAATTTGTAAGTGTGTCTGTACTTTTCTGTCAATCCATTATTGTTTGCCTCTGTCTGTCTGTGTATGTACTTGTCTGTCAATCTGTTTCTGTCGAGCTGTCTGTCTCGATGTATACTGTGTCTATCTATATGAGTCATACACAATCAAAACCTTTTCTCTATTGTTCAATGTTTATGAAGTTCTAGTTTATGGTTGGAATAATTCAGTTTTAATGACTTCTCTTATATAACAGTATGATATGGTTTTTGTGTTAGATAGGTCGGTCAGGAAAAATGGTAACACTTTTATTACAAAAATTAATGATTTTCTACTACATTCAAGGAAATGCTGTTACATAAATATCATTAACCCTTTCCTGCTTTGATGTAGATATGTCGCACCTAATGGCCAAAAATTAACATGTTTACACACTAGAACTCGTTATTAATAAATGTTGTACCTTACATTAAAATTGATAAAAAAATGTCCAAACATTTTGTATTTATTTCATATTTTTATTGGACGATATAACTTGTATCTGAATCGGTATTTTGTGTGCTATTTGTGGCTTTCATTGCAGAGAAACTCATTAGTACAAATATAGGTATTGTGGACATCATTTACACGATAGACTGTATCCTGTTATTTTTACAGATATCATCTTGTTGTGCTTCTGGATCTTGCTGTTCATCTCTGGTATGGCTTACCAGCTTTATCGAGAAAAGTCAAGTCCTCCATTCCATCCACCAAACCTTTCCTCTTGGAAAGCTACTAAAAAGTTCTTTAACTTTGTTTTTGATAAAATATTTGTTTGCCTACCAATGGATCCAGATCCTGGAGGTGCAGGCATAGAAGATCGGCCAACGTGGATATTAAGAGTAACGTATTCATTTAAACTATTACGTCGTCGAGTGACCTGCAGTAGACAGGATGGATTTGAGTCTGGCTATGAGAGTTTCCAAAGGGTGAGAACTTTATCTCAGTCAGCAGAATCCATCCCAGAGTCTGACAATTCAACAGTTCGCACCATTAAGACAAGAGTCAGTGAATGGATTGAGAAACTGAGATCCAAATCTAGACCAGATAATGAAAGGTTACTGCAGGTCAGTGAAAATGAAGAGCATGAAGAAGAGGATGAAAATCAGCTTCAGGATGCAGATGTTTCATGCTGCACTTTCAGACAGACTCAAGTTGTCCTCGATGATGAGTATACAGACAATTCTCAAGCTTAATCAAATCTATGCAATGAAGTCATTTAATGTCTTATATCTACCTAGTGATACTCCCCATGCCATAGAGGGAGCAACATAAGTAAAGCAGTGTCTGAGACGGTGGACAATCAAAGGATTTTGGGAGAAATTTACATTACCAACCATGCTTTCTAAGTCCTATAGTGGTGCAAACTAACATCACAGGAAATTGACTCATGAATGTTTCCAGCAGTAGCAAGATCAATATTTTTGTCATACAAGAGTGTGTTGATTCTCTCTGCCACAAATAATCAAGCTCAATACAGTACATGCTGAGGACAGTACTGTACATAGCAGTCATCTGAAAAGTTTTGTGTTATTGTAAGCTGGAATTATTAGAATAGTTGAAAAGCTGTGGGTCTTTTGTCTTCCTTTTTATACACTGCTCATCATTTATTGTTACACTTGCCAGGGTCTCAAGAAAAATTTTCCAATATTTGAAAGTTATGAACTTAGCAGTGTAAGAGTACTGTACACTGGGCCTTCACTCATATTATTATTATTATTATTATTAGTTGTGGTTTTTAGCAAATATTTCATAGTGTTTAGGCATCTTAGAAAGTACAGTATCAATATTTTGAAGTATCATTAGAAATTGATCTTTTTATTAGTACAGTACACATTACAGTACAGTACTGTATTGTTATAATATTTATTTGGTATTTTTTCTCCAACATTTGCTTCTCAGTTGATTCAGATACATTGCTTTGTTTATTGAGAATTAAGGGTGAGAGTAATAATTCTTTAGATTTGTAATTGCAGTTTTACTCTTTTGTAGAGTACTGTATAGATTGTATAAATAACAAGAGAAATTAAACTTCATGGAACATACATGGTGTTGCTATATATTAAAACTTCAATTTAGAAAAACTGTAAGGGAGAAACTTTCATGAATCTGGTGATTTTTTTTTTTTTTTTTGCTTCTGTTTCATTCTAAGTTTTTAGGGTGCTAGACCATGGGTGGGCAATTATTTTTGATGGAGGGCCACTTCATGAATGGTGGCACACTTCGCGGGCCACTGGTTAACAGCGACGAGCCAGTATTGCTGCTATGTCCACCCAACTTCCAAAATTGTCCTTTCTGTAATTAATAAGAATTTTTTTTTTCTGGTTGCCAAATGCAGTGGAGGGCCACAGAAATAATTTGGCGGGCCAAATGTGACCCGCGGGCCGCACTTTGCCCACCCCTGCGCTAGACTAAGCTTGCCTCTCTCACTGGGAGTTGTCATGTTATGGTGTAGGTCAAATAGGTCACAGTTCTAATAGGTGACAGTCATACTGGGCCCCAAGTTAACCTACCCATTTAGGATTTGGGCTCACTGTGATTGTATAGTATACTTGTTAGGGACTGGAGCCCATCAGAACTGGGTCCCCAATTCTAGTGGTAAGGGTAGTTTAGGGTTTAGTAGGACTAGGATGGGCTCCAATCCTAAATGTACCCGGTAAGTTTATTGTAGGTTAGAGTTGACCTGATTAGTATTGGAGGCCATTTGACCATTCATGAACAAAGTTATTTATTTATTTAATCATTTATTTATTTTTTCATACATAGTTCTCATAGAATCCCTTCACACTATGTTTAAGTATACTGTACTTTCATAATTCTCAGATATAAATCATATTTCCTGAAAAAGTTGTTTATCTTGAATACATTACAGTATATGCATTCTTTGTTAATAACTTGTTAGAGCTCTCTTCATTCATGCCACTTTTATATTAGGTATATAGTTATTTGTCATCTACCATCATGTAGGTACTTTTAGTTATTGTTATTTCACCCTATAATGAATGAAGGCATCAGTGAGGTAGAAAGTACAGTATATTCAGATTAGAAATATCGTCACAAATTAATCAAAGTCCCTGTGATCCGTCTTCTCATCTTAGCCATCGAAGAATTATTATTCTTAAGTTTTTGCTGACAGTAATGTATAGGCATTTTTCACTCAATCCAAATGTTTTAAAAATATGTACAGAAGGTTGGCTTATGCAGAACCTTATCACCTTATCGTGGTGCAGTATTTGATTGTGTCTGCAGATTCCTCTTACACAAACACTCTGTCTCTCTCAACCTCTCTGTACATCCACAAGTTCTTCCAACTTTCCTTTATTGCAAACAACTTATTTTCTGTCTGCATGAAGTTAAAATTTAGACTATATATATATATATATATATATATATATATATATATATATATATATATATATATATATATATATATATATATATATATATATATATATATATATATATATATATATATATATATATATATATATATATAAGACAAAATAGTCATTCAGATTTGTATGATAAGTATTCTTAAACTTAGTCCCCAAGGAATTAGTCAGTCATTGTTTCTAGCATTACTATTCATATATACTGTAATATGTTTGGGTTTTTCACCACCCTTCCTTATTTATTTAATGTTTAAATAGACCCCCAGGCTAATGTAAACTAATAATTAGGGTTTGGGCCCATTAGGATCAGATCTTATTAGAACTGGGACCCCATAGGATTGGCACCCATTCATCCTAAGGAATAGTTTGGGGCATAGCAGAATTGGGACTCATTTGACCAGTCACCTCTGGATTTCATTAGTGTATGCAATAAATAGTCTGTGATAAATTCCTGACTCCTTTACAGTTTGTTAGCAGAACTAAAAAGTTTATCATGTGCTGGCACACTCCACTCTACACAGTACACTATATTACTGCATATGTTTTACATATTCTGTTACTTTCTGTAAATTATATTTTAAGCTTTCAGTTGGATTCATTTCTAAATACGTATACTGTACTGTACTGTACTGTACTATTATTATCATTATGTGTGAACTGTCTTTTTAAACAGAAGAACAGTATTTAATCCAAGTGCATTAACTACTCAAACATTCTTCACACTACTTGCAATATTTAGAACATTGTTTGATGGGCTTCTTTTTCTGCGCTGTATTTGGATGTACAAAAAGCCTGCTCATTAAATCCGTCCACTTCTTCCAACTTCCCCAGACTAGTAGCCAGTGTAGTAATACACATTCCTTTTGTTCTTCAGTCCATTGTCTTAAGGTGAAGTTTAGTCATAGGTGCTTTATCATGTCCTTATCATTGCCACCAGAATTTTAATTGTAATAATCAGTTGTATCAATGGTCCTGCTGCCAGCATGCATCATGTACTCCTCATAAGTTCAGCTCATGTTCAGCTTTTGGTTTCAACATCTTTTCTCTTTATATGTCCTTGAGCAAGTTTGTTTTCAGCACTTTGGTTTTAGTTCACCGTCACACTATTCCATGTATCATACAGCAGCATTCCATCTGAAATCTTCCCCATGAATTCTTTAGTCTTTAGAATAAACCAGTTTCCTGCACCTTTGAACACAATTTTCTTTATAAGATTTTGAAATTCCCCAGTAAATGCTATTACTGTATTTTATATTAATAAATAATTGCATATTATACAGCCTATGAGTAACTTGAGAATAAGGGATAATATACAGTAGACAGGCATCACAAACACCATTTTGGTCTTTATGCATATTTTGCTGACATGATAATATGTGAGTTACTTCCAGTTGGTTGCTGTTTGTAGGTAACAAACAACTTTTCTACATGTGTAAGAACCTCCTGGCATAAAGGTACAATATTATAAGACTGCTTTTGCATATTTCACATAGTCCTCCCACATTGTACAAAATACTAAGTGGTTAGTTACCTTTGTATTATTAGCTCAAGCAGCTTAAACTGATGAGACAAATTCTCAGGAAGTTTAAAATATTATTAATTTCATATTAAAAATTATCCATATGTTTACTGGTGTTCATTTGTATTAGACAACGGTTTTATTCCAGATATTATCCTTACCCTTGTGTATGGAATGTTAATATGATTTATGGGAATGTCTTCTCAATTCAAAATTTATAAGTTGTATTCAACATATTTCAGTTGTAATTCACTCCTCACTCATACAGATATGTACACATACATACAACATTTGCACATTATAACGTGTCTATCAATGCACATATCTGCACACCTCATATTACATATGAAAACAAACACACCATACTGTGCAACACCAAGTACACCATTTAGCACAGTATTATACCCCCCCCCCCCACACACACACACACACACATTGTTAGAGTGTTGTTATGGTTGGATTATTTGTATTTAGATTTTGTGAGTACAGTTACTCATTCGTGTCAGTCAGTTATATTTAGTACCATAATATGTGATACCCTGGTTCAATAGCCTGTGATGGACTAGACCAGGTTCTCTTGGTTGTCTCCATTGTTTTCATGATCAATAAAATTATTTATGCAAACATATAAGAACTATGATATCCCATACTGTAAAAAACATATGATCACATGAAGATTAGCCACCCCAGCTTATTTCATCTGATGATTAGACACCCTAATGTTAGCTTAACCTAATTCCTAACAGGTAGTGTCAAGGTGTTTAATCAACAGGTAAAATAAACAAGGGTGGCTAATTTTCAGGTTAATTTACAATGTATAAAAATATAGGCTGTGAAAGTCATAATGTTTTAAATTTACTTTGAATAGAGGTCAAAAACATGAGTTTGAATGTGGAGGAAGACTAAAACCGGTTCCTGACCCATGTAAGTGTGGTTATACCAAGAAATTTCCAGCCAGATGGTTCCCGTTTTCTGTATAAGGTATTGTTCATCAGTGGGGGAGACACCTGTGTTTTGCGAGGCAGTCAAGCGTAAGTGATGTCCATCTTGGGAGAGCAGAACTTAACCAAAGAATTTCTTTAAGAAAACCTTATTCGCCCTTCATAATGCATTTAGAGGTGTCAGACTTTATAATCGTTCTGATATTGTCAAACAAATTTATTGTTTGAAATTAAGTCTTTCTCCTGTAGTGTAGTGTAGTGTATACAAAATGTCGACGTATAAAATAATTGCTTTCTTATATCTGTACATTCCTTTATATTGTCAATTTATTAGTATTGTATAAAGTAGAAGTAATTTCGAGATGAGTTATGTGCCAACTTACGTTGTTGTATTCATTGAGGGCTGACGGCATTCAAGAGCATAACAGAATACAGTGCGTACAGATGTCAAGGAATTTTGTCTGAAAAAAAAAAAAAATAATAGCCTTCACAGCTATTATAATAACTAATGTGATTTTATTCACATACAAGAAGAATCAACCCTCCTGAACTGCAAAATTAGTAGTTACTGTGGTTTCAAATATTTTATCACATATTTGCATATTACGATAACTGTATGTTGCAAGTAATGTTATGCAGTTGAATATATGACGATTAACAGCACCGTACTTTATATGTGCCAATTTTCAACATAATATCGTTGTTTAGAAAGGAGGTTAATTATATCTCGCATCCTCGTTGTGAGTTAGGATGACATAACTAGTCAAACAAAGCGGGCGGACCCTAAAATAATCAATACAGAAGTAGGGGAAGGAAGATGAGCCAAAGACTCGGGGTGGTGGAAAGATGGGGGAGGAAGGACGTGTTGGTGAGACGCTATGACATAATAAATATTCAACCTCATAATATTTTCATTATTTACTAAAATAATTAAGATTTATGTTAAATTTACATGGAAGAAAACATGAATAAGCGAGTTTAAAATAAGAATTTTACTTGGGGTGCACTTAGGATTATACCATTTATGAAAAGCATGGAGAGCCGTTTTATGACAAGGATATTACCGCCCTCTATGAGCGTGTACTTGAACCCTGGCTCAGGTAGTTCACTCCCCTACCACGAGAGTGAGCTGCAATAGTCTCACCTTGTCTTTTAAACAAGCCTTTTCTCGCTTGCTGCTTAGCCTCATCATTTTTACATATATAGTAAATTCTTACACCATTACAAAGCTATTTAATAAACATGTAGATTATAAATAAGTGATGAAACACCCAGGGTTACAATAAAAGTGCATATGTCGAGGTTTCATTATATTTCATATATCTTACAATAACCACTACACACAACATGACTGGCGGGTGGCGGGAAAAACAGAGTATATCATAGTTCACATGATAATGTTATAAAATGGTCCTAAAATCATAACCTGGGTAAAAAATTCTGGTGTTTGGGGCAGCTGTTGTTGTGTTTCGTGTTGCCGCAATTTTCTCTTATGATAAATAACTAATTTTAAAATGATTTTATAATTAATTCTCAGCGTTTAATCTCCAGTGATATGCATTTAATTTAGTAAACCCAAATTCTGTATTAAATGCCTTGACCACACAACAGGAATTAAGATTAATTGACAGCGTTATTTGTTGTTCTGGATAACAGTTTAGTGATCAAAGCGACGAAAAAAATAATTAAGGATTGTAATATGTGCGTTTAATATTTCTTTTTTTTTTCATTGTGCAGTTTCTATTACGTAAAAATTACTTTCCCATATACTCAAAAATAGTTTACTATACTTTTAAATATATATCTTTTAAAATATAGCCTCTGTTTACTGCATATCTGAAAAGGTTAAATTATTTTAGAAACACAATTTAGCTCATCCCACTGTCCTCGCTACCAACATCACTTTTGTTACTTTCAATTCTAAAAATGTAAAACAGTAAAACCCTGTTAAAGCGATGTCTTTTAGAGGCCGGTAGCTTTAGCTAGATGGCAATTGTAAATAATGCGAAACTGATGGCGAAAATACGTAGGTGACTGACTGTAAGTGTTGAGTGTTATGACCAAGTTAACGTTATATATAAAGGTGACAGCGAGTGAAGGTTTTATTGTAGATTGACGTGAGTTGTAGCGTCATAACATTGACGCCATAACATTGATGCCACAACATTGATGTCATAACATTTAATTAGCCGTCCACATTATTAACGAGACTATATTTTCAATAAGATGAATATAGTCATTCATGACAAATGAATATATAAAACGTACCGATTCCATACATAAATTTCTATTGATGGTCAGAGTAATTTATGATAATTTTGATGTTCAAATGAATAAAATATGAGGACTTTGTTTGGTATTTGAAGCAACATACGACATTTCTCCCTCAAATATCAGCTAACATTTTTTTCCCGGGGTAAAAAAATATATAGAGTCGCCAGCATCGAGAAAAAATCAAGAAAATCCATCTTATGATAAGGTTAATATGTTATAATAATTTAGAGATTATAAGTGTGTGTGTGTGTAAAGTATGTTAACAGCTGCCCCAAATTATTTTAAGTTAGATATTTTGGGTCGCGTCTATAAGTGAAGACAGATGCTGTGGAGAGCAAGAGGGAGGAAAGTGGCGTCTCTTTGGTATAAACAATCGGCTGAGGCCACTTACTCTATCAATTATTTTTTTTCCTTTCACTATGCAAGTGTATAATATGTGTGTAACAGATATATTACCATTAACTGTATGAAGAATTCTCTCGGCTACTTTCTATGATGATGACTGCGTGATTGATTTGAATTATATACATACAATTACAGTGTGATAATCATGTGGTTTACAAAAATAATCACAAAGACATTACAGTCAGTGGGATATTACAGAAAGCTACTGTACTGGCATATCTGAAGTGTAACATTCACTATAATACAATTTACAACACAATAAACAGAACAGTATAAAAATTAAATAAGACTGGCATTTTTATAGCTTTCTAGTATCTCAGTTTAGTAATTACGTCGCTTTTATCAGCACATACCGCGGAAGGGTCGACATTTTTTTCTTCATATCACAACCTAAAATTTTATCATTTAAAAAAAAATATATTCACAATTTCGCAGAGCATTACAAAGGATCCTATTTAAGTCGGTCTTTCGTCTGTGCAAAATAAAATTGAGTAAGCCATTCACATAACACCAATCAATTAAGGGCGGAGGAAAAGACGTGATCATGGGGTGTTTTCAGCGTAAACAGTCGGCCGGGCCCGCGCTGCCATTCTGCAAGTGACAGCCATTGAGCGCGCCACCGCAGCCCCTCCCGCTACACTGAGCACACTGAACATGGCAATACGCTGTAAAATTCCCACCATGCGCTCAGAATGAAGTCTTTTGTCGCTAATTTTATGGGAAATTAGTTCGTGAAATGCGGCGCTATTCAGGTGAAACCAAGTCTGATATCTGATCAGATTGAATTTGTCATAAGTGCAGTGATATCAATCGTGGGCAGCTCTTGACGGGGGGTCTGGTAGGACCGCGTTAATAGCTTGTATTATAAGGCTCACTGCCACCGTAATGCTGCCACTCGTTATAATACTCGGCAAAAATCTAGTGATTAGAAGTTTCTTAACTCATTAAGTGCCTTGAGGAGAAAGAGAGTTGTTCCTGGAAAACAAATTTATGGATTTGGAATCTGGGAAAGAAATGTCGAGGTGAAACTATTTAAACCGCGGGGGAGAGAGGAGAATGTTGTGAGGGAGGGAGGGAGGAGAATGTTGTTGTGGTGAGGGAGGGAGGAGAATGTTGTTGTGAGGGAGGGAGGGAGGGAAGGTTGTTGTGGTGAGGGAGGGAGGAGAATGTTGTTGTTGTGAGGGAGGGAGGGAGGGAAGGTTGTGTTGTGTATACGCATGAGTATGATAACTAAACTACACAGTCTACTACACTATACACAGTTTACACACCTTTATACAGTAATAAATAGGTGTCAAGAGGCCATCCGCTGCCGCCCATCACTGTGAAAAGCAGAGACAGTTGACAACACCCGTCTCGCAGTGCTCGGCTACAGCATCCCGTTTTCTGTGACTAAATTCTGTTTTCTCTGACTCGGGGATGCTGTTGGCCGCAGTCAGAAGCAACAGCAACTTATGTAACTAAAGATTAATCCTAAGCTATGGGTATCTTCGTAATCTTTTACCTTTCAAATACCAATGTACATGACAGCATGCATTATAGTTAATATTATTTTGGTTACAACTGGTATCGTCATTTTGTACCTAACTGGGGGTTTCTTTGTGTCATTCATCCGTCAAAAAAACTTATCACCTTGCGCTTTAAAAACTTGGGAAAAAAAAGAACATTGGCAGGAGTATCAGCGCAGATTGCACAAGTTGGTCAGAAAACCCAGCACAGTTGTGTCCTCTTCTACCGGGAACAAAGAGCTTTACAAAAGGTCTCCTCACTACAACATAAGTTTTGTATCAATAACACGTCCGAAAACTTCCACGATGCCACCATAATGTCAGCCCAGAGCCGGGACAGCCGTACAAAATCAGAATCATATGTGCACAATGTTGACATTATCTCGTGGAAAGTCGCCGTGATAGTACGCCCGTTCTTCGTTATGTCTGAAGAGGAACTATCACTAAGGTCACGCCTCATGGGTGAAGGCTCACCCCCATGGGTAAGCCACAACTTTTGAATAGGCCACAACCTCCATGGGTAAGCCACACCTCTTGAGTAAGTTTTACAGCCTGTGGGTAAAGCCGTACGCTATGGGTAAGCCACACTCTATTAATAAGCCACACCACTTGGAGTAGGCCACACCCCATTGGGTAAATCACACCCCCTTGAGTAAGCCACACCTCCCCCGTTGATAAACCACACCCTGAGGGCAGGTGAACCACACAAGAAGACAAAAAAAAACAGCCACTCGAACCTCAGTCGTATTAGATGACGGTGGTGACGGCGGTGGTGACGGTGGTGGTGGTGACGGTGGTGGTGGTGGTGGTGAGGCCCTTAGACTTGTGAGTACTGCGAGGCCGAGAGATCCGGCTCACGCATCAGAGACCATCACTGGAGCCTCGGCCAATAGTTGGCGGCGCTCAGATCAGGGGTCTGGCTGGGGATCTGGACTGGCACTGACACACCCGCTGATATTAAGCCTGTGGGAAGAAGAGAAGAAGACATGGGTTAGTTAGTGTCTTAGCTGACGTAATAAGCCTGTAAACAATCATTACCCAGCAAACAATAAAAAACACTGAACAATTACAAGTTTGCAAACAATAATAACAAGCATGTAAGCAATGATAAGCTTGTGGACAGTTATAAGAATGTGTAAACACTGATAAAGGGAATGTTTACAATACTTAGAATCAATATAAAGGTTGAAATGTTAGTTTAGTGTAAAAACCCGGTAATAGTGAACTGTAGGCTGGCGCTATACGTGTTGTGTTGTGTTGTGTTCAGTCTGACACACACTAACCTACAGTCACCAGTTAATGTTCTCTGACTGTTAACAACCTATGAGAAACTGATCTATATAGTCTTGTATTCTAAAAAGGTCGTAAGTTAAATTTCCATCTTAATTTGATATGTAAGAACGTATTTAACACTTGAATACTAACCCCCTCCTCCCCCCCCCAAAAAAAAAATGACATCGAAAGTGTACTGAGACTATATCTTAAGTTAATCAGTTAGGTACATTCTTACATCTTTACTTAGGAGGAAAATTTATCGTAGTAACCTTTGAATTTTTTTTTATTCCTGGTTCATACACGCTTTCCTTCTCTCCCTCCCCTTCCCTTCTTTCATCCCTCCTTCCCTCCCCCTCCCCCCTCCCTCCCCTGGGCCACCACACCTTTGTCTCCCCTCCTCCCCCCCTTTTAGCCCCCACCATATCACCACCACCATCTTCACACTTCCCACCCCAACCTGCATTTGTTCCTCACCCCTCCACCCCTCTTACCATTATCTCTCTCACTCTTACCATTATCTCTCTCACTCTTACCACTATCTCTCTCACCACTATTTCACATCATCTCACCACTATCACCACCACCACCACTATCTACCACTCTACCACCACTATCGCCACTCTACCAACCACTATCACCACTCTACCACCACTATCACCACTCTACCACCACTATCACCACTCTACCACCCTACCACCACCACCACTATCTACCACCACTATCACCACTTCACCACCACTGCTCTACCACCACTCTACCACCACTATCACCACTCTATCACCACTCTACCACCACTATCACCACTCCTCTACCACCACTATCACCACTCCACCACCAACACTATCACCACTCAACCACCACTATCACCACTCTACCACCACTATCACCGTCTCCAGCTCATTATTAAGTGTAACCAACTATCATCAACACCGTAGCCTAACACCCTGTCTCCTACACTTACACTCAACATCCTATCACGTTCTCTGCTACACCCAACTACACACACATCACTCCCAAATTACACCCTATTAGTCACCTCTATACACCTTACAAGAATCAAATATACACCCTATCATGTTGTTGACTACACCCAGCTACACCTATCACTGTTTACACCCTATCATAACTCGATACATTGTTGATATGTCACTTAACACATTCAAACTTGTGGTGTAACTCTTCAAGTCCTCGAGTTTGTATACAAAGGAACTATTCTATTGTTATATTGAATACTACTAGAACCATATAATAATAATAATAATAATAATAATAATAATAATAATAATAGCAGCAGTATTGATTATGTCTAGCTATGAACCAATCAGAAAAGTCGTATCAAATTTTAGAGTTTCTGATACGTTAGTAAACCAAACACAGAAGACCACCCATCTACGTTCAAAACTTTCTATGAAATAATCGATTTTTTTTACACGATTTCATAACAAAAATCAACGTGAAATTAGAACAACTTCCAAATAAACTCTCAACAAACACCATTCATACAGAGCCTTCACACGACACCACAACACTAAGTCATTCAGATCCTTTACAAGAGACCGGGGTATAAATGTGCAGTGTCTTGGAAAGTTGTAAACGAAACCGATTTAGCAACACGGAGAAGGGATCGAGGCGCCACTTGGAACTTAGCACGGGGAATCAGCGCGAGGAATCGACCCACCGCTAATTGTGCAAGTCGACGGGTGTTTGCCGAGCCCAGTCGCCCGGAAACCAGCTGGAGGTGAGTGAGGGTGTGTGTCCGTCAGCTCGGCCCGTGGGAAGCTGCCTCCCCCGCCTGTGGCACGCTCCATGTACGGACGAAATCCCATCACTAAAATAAAAATGGACAAAATCTCACCAGCCCATGTTTTTAAACCCAAATACACCCCGTTTTTTTTTTTTTAGCCTAGGTTCGATGGGATTTGGTTATACACTCGATACGACATTCAGTATTGGTTGTTCCTCCCGTGATGCACTCCCTGACTGTTGGTAAATACTCTAAGTGTTGCTTCTGACGCCATCTACATGTTAAAAGTCAGTTTATTAATATCATCTACGTCAGCAGCGGATCTACACATACATCTTGTTGACATTTACGGGATATCTAGAATTTATTTAAAACTTATACTGGCATTCCCTCAGTCACAGATGTTTCGAGGTTAGCATTCTGTTTCTCATGTTAACGATTTTATCATTCTCTTATTAACTTTACCCTGATGTCTCTTGTTAGTTTTAGAACCTTTTTAAATACAATACTAAAACTAATAAATTCCCAAATATGAAGACAAATTTACCCTCGTATCTGATATAAATAGTTATCAGAATTAATAAAGAAAGATTCCCATAGATTAGAAAATATATAAGCGTAAAGGATGGACACGTAGCATTATAATCCTTTCTGAGTCATAGAATCGAATCCCACATAAGAGTCTCGAGATGTATTGAGGAGAAATTAGGTTAGATTTGAATGTATGTGAGTTCAGTGTGACTCTCTCTCTGATACATTTTCACTCGGTATTAACAGTATATCTCTACGGTATTGACAGTCTCTCTCTCTCTACGGTATTGGCAGTCTCTCTCTCTCTACGGTATTGACAGTCTCTCTCTCTTTCTACGGTATTGACAGTATCTACGGTAATGAAAGTTTCTCATCTGTTCACAATATCTCCCACACGTCACCACAAATCAGCTGTTCCACCAAGTAACAATTAAGGCGCCGTCTGTATCTCGGGAACCATTTAAATGATGAAGGCAGCCAAGACAGAGAGAGAGAAAGAGAGAGACAGAGAGAGAGAGAGAGAGAGAGGTGAGAGCAAGAGTGGCCTAATACTGTGTCAATATGCACATTGCCGCGCTAATGTTGGGATATTACGGTTCAGTTTATATTTCTGTCTGTTAGTCATTTGGTTTGTCTTGACGGAATGGATCACCTGAGGATTACACACCCCGCCAGTTTATTTCACCTGGAGATTAACCACACTAATGCTAATCTAATTTTGACCTAATCTAACCTAACCTAACCTACACAAGAACCTCAGGTGGCGTAAAGGTGCTTAATCACCAGTTAAAATAAGCTGGGGTGTCTAATCTTGTGTGTCAGGGCCGGGAGGGGGGTGGGGGAAATATAATAATAATAATAATAATAATAATAATAATAATAATAATAATAATAATAATAATAATAATAATAATAATAATAAAAATAATAATAATGTAATAATAATAATATAACAATAATAATAATAATAATAATAATAATAATAATAATAATAATAATAATAATAGCCATAAATAAATACGAAAAAAAATCAAGAGTGGGAAACAATATATGTATGTTGTGTTGTCAAAGTAAGAGAAAAAAATGAGACCCTGCAATTGTGTGTAAATGAGGCAGAAAGTCAGATCAGCAACCTGGGACTTGATCACATATGGCAGCAGGGTCTACCATTAGACAATACGTTATGCTTCCAATATCTTCCCAGGCGGTAGTACCTCCCTGTTCGGTAGTATTTAACGCACTGTATTTTGTAAACAGTTTCCCGGATACAAAACTAGAGATAAAGTTTTACATCGACTTAAGTTTTTTACAATGTGGACCATTAGCCTAACCTAACCTAACCATTGTAAAAAAATATGACACATTTACATAGTGTATTTTGTAAACACCTTCCCGTATATAAGAAAATTAGTTATTGTGTTTTACGTATTTACAGTGGCCAAGTTTTTACAATACTCTTCAATGGGAATATCATTGTAAAAAAGTAAAAACGTTTGTATATGATATATTTGTAAACAACTTCCTGAGTACATATATACATACACAATACCTCACTAGTCAGGCATTGTAAATGGAAGTCCGCGTGTATATAAACTTGACATACATACATACATACATACATACATACATACATACATACAGTATATATATATATAAAATGCTAAAGATTATATTTTTTCAACTAACCTCAAAACTCAAAACTTTTACAAACATCCTGAACTCCCCTCCCCTCCCCCTACCTCCCCTCCTCCTCCTCCTCCCTCTGAGTCAGGGTCGTTTCACAGATAATTTGGTGGTAAATAAAAAATAAAATCTGTAAAACTACCGCTGTTTTGGGTTAAGTTAGAATTGAAATGTCGGTGAGTGGTAGTATTTATATTTCATATATTCTCCTTGTAGTAATTTTCTATGCGGTCTCGTTCAAACTCGCTCAGCCTCTACACACACACACACACACACACACACTGGACCGACACACACACACACACTGGACCGACACACACACACACACACACACACACTGGACCGCACACACACACACACACACACACTCTGGACCGACACACACACACTGACGCTCTTTCTCGGCCATGAGGGACATTTTTTTAACTACGTCTCTTGGGTTTTTTGGGGTGATTATATTTGTCACTTTTTTCGTGTGTGTGTGTGTGTGTGTGTGTGTGTGTGTGTGTGTGTTACAAGAACATATGGGTTGACACTTTATATGTTAGTTAATATGCCAGGAAAAATTGTAGACGAGTGAGAAATGGTACCGGTATTTGGAGTGTACCTGTACCTGTAGTGTACCTGTATAACATTCCTAGTCAACAACACAACACGGGGACACCATCAGACAACACACAGAACAGTACTCATTAAGCACGACACTCACCTGTTCCCGTGCCGCCTGCGGAAGAGGTGGCTACGGCAGCGTAGGAGGCGGCCGCCGCGTGGCTGGCGGCGTTGAAGGAGGAGACTGCGACCTGCGACGCCGTGTTACCGCAGGAGGCCAGCTGGGAGGAGGAGCGCTGGTAGGAGGAGGAGAGGGAGGAGAGAGGGTCGTGGAACATGTAGGGATAGGCGGAGGCGGCGTCCCTCTGCTGTAGGCACGACCCACCCATGGAGCTTAGCGACCCGGACATGCTGTAGGTAGGACAAACACACACATGGACGTTAGTGGATTGACACACATACGTACGTTAATTTAATATAGTTGTTACTTAAGAAAGGCAACATAGTCACCAGCAAAAGGATAATTGAGAAATATTATGTAAACCGTAATTTATTAATGTATAATAATAATAATAATAATAATAATAATAATAATAATAACTTACCTGTCAATAGAAGATAAAAGTGGTTAAATATTTCTACTACTACTACTACTTCTACGACAACAACAACAACAACTACTACTACTACTACATTAAAATAAATGCGCGGAAAAGTATAGACGAATGAAACCAAAGACGATGAGTAGAAGCTAAAACAGAGACAGATGCTGAGAATATTAACAAGGAGAGTCCCGTAGTCATAAAAACAAAAGCGCAACGCATTATTCTCTCAGCCAATAAGAGGACCGAGAGTGACGCGTCAACCAATCACTTGAGGTAATCCAGGTCACGTGACTCGAGATGAGGTTGTTACACCCGAACGAGCAATTACCCGTCGTATTATCGGCACTCACTGGTGCTCCTGAGAACTGAGGCTTTAACCGGATCACTGCCAGGAGAAAGAGAGAGAGAGAACTGAGGCTTTAACCGGATCACTGCCCAGGGAGAGAGAGAGAGAGAACTGAGGCTTTAACCGGATCACTGCCAGGAGAAAGAGAGAGAACTGAGGCTTTAACCGGATCGCTACCTCGAGAGAGAGAGAGAACTGAGGCCTTAACCGGATCACTGCCCAGAGAGAGAGAGAGAGAGAGAGAGAGAGAGAGAATTCTTACCCCCCTAACCATCTCAACCTCATACTAACAAACCCAGAATTCGCCTTTAAACTACATTATAGAAAATATAAAATAAAATAGTAACAACAAATAGCAATAAATAACAGCTAGCAAAAAAGAGTTAACTACCCGACTTAGGTAATTAAACACGGGCGTGATAAACTGGGCGTGTGTGACCAATGGGTTTATTTCCTGATGGTTATAGAGGAGGCCTATTAGCTCTGGGGTCTATTGGGACTTGGGGTCTATTGGGACTTGGGGTCTATTGGGACTGATGCCTACTCGGTCTGGGGTCTATTGGGACTTGGGGTCTGTTGGGACTTGGGGTCTATCTGGGGTCTGTTAGACGATGCCTACTCGGTCTGGGGTCTACTGTATTGTCTGGGGTCGTTGGTTCTGGGGAGGGGAGGTAAGGAAGGAGTGGAGGGAAGGGGGAGGAAGAAGGGAGAGGGGGAAGAAGAAAGACGGGGGAGATGGAGGTAGAGAGGTGGGGGGAGGGAGGGAGAGATGGGGGGGGGTAGGGAGGGAGGAGAGATGGGGGGGGTGGGTCGTGGATGTTCATATCGTCATAATCCCGGCCACGTGACCTCTGACAGGCAGGGGTCGTTGAGTGTGAGTAGTACCTCCCTCCCCTCCTTCCCTCCCTCCCTCCTACCCTCCCTCCTCCTTCCCTCCCTCCCTCCTTCCTTCTTCCCTCCCTCTCTTCCATACTAATTATCAACATTCTTTATTCTTCACGTTATTGCTGTGTTGTATGTTTATTTGTGTGATTATCCCAAGGCTGATGTAGTATTCAGTGTGGATCGGGGGGGGTGGGGGGGCGGGGGCGTGGGCGGGGGGTGGGGAGGCGGGGGCGTGGGCGGGGGTGGGGGAGGCGGGGGCGTGCGTACTGGACAAAACCCGAAATGGACAAAATTAAACTAATAACAATATCCTAGGAAATAAAATCACACAAAATTATTCCCGTAAAACCCAAAAACCCACAAGACTAAAATAATTCTAATATGTAAGATGTAATAAAATGTCTAAACTCACCTTCATTCTCGAGTTGTTCTGACGCGGGTTAATTCTCCATTGCAGATAAAAATATGTCAATTTCTTATCTTTCTCGCGTCTAATTTTTCTTTATATTCAGTCTAGTGTTCGTTGTTTATACCTGGTTAATTTTACCAATGAGTTATAAAGACATATATTCCCACGGGCATAATATTAACTCGGTTTAAAAGTATATATGGAAGAGTATTTATCAGAATTCTAGACTTGCTTCATGTATAAACTGTGTATATAATTTCCAGTACATAACTCAGCCTATAACTTATGTGAATTAACTCTATAATAACTGGATGTATCTGTTATCATGTTATTATAGAGATCAGTGTTTTACTGGTATAATTGTGCAAAATTAACATCAAAGAAATATATATCGTAATTGGAACTATGGGAAATTTTTAAATTATATCCTAAAAAGACGATACCACAATTAGCGTCATTTATAAATTCGTTATTTTCGACATAAATACAGCTTAGTGAACGCTATTAAGAAATTTAGAAGCTGATAAAATTAAATATATTATAAAATCATAAGTCAAACTGAGAAATAAAAGTCATTATGAATAATTTATTGAATATTTTTTTCTTTGTTGATCTTTTAGGTTTTATTTTGGTGTGGCGTAATAATGGCGCTTGGACTGTAAACTGGACGACGCTTTGTTCCGGGACATAATTACCGATTATAGATACATTACGAGTGTTATGTGGACTATAACCGATTCACAAGGTGTACTATATCATGAACAGTGACTTAGATGTGTAAGAGTGACGGAAATGTGAAGTTAATGGTGAATATTTAGTTAAACGATGGAGGCGGGAGTGAAGGAGGCAGGACAGAGGTAAGCAATTAACCAACCTTGTTTACTAGTTAGCGGCCAGGTAAGGTGATGATAAAGACTGGTGCCGATATTGTGTGGTGCTAATATTGTGTGGTGCTCATTGTGTGGTGCTCATTGTGTGACTTATTTCGTATGGGTAAATATTGTGCACTACAGCGGGTATTAATGACGTCACTTTATTAAGCGTCAGTCACGTGTTTTGGCATGACGTCATTGTTTACACGCTACAGCTTTACCAATCACTCATGACGTCATTGTTTACACGCTACAGCTTCACCAATCATTCATGACGTCATTGTTTACACGCTACAGGTTTAATCCTCATGACGTCATTGTTTACACGCTACAGCTTTACCAATCACTCATGACGTCATTGTTTACACGCTACAGCTTCACCAATCACTCGTGTTGTCTTCCATACTGCCAAACGCACCATAGAAGTTTGTTAACATAATCTTTTGTGTTTTATGTTGGGGTACAGGGAATTTAAATCAGTTTTTGTGTATATATTTTTATTTTATTTTTTAATTTAGGGTCATTTAATAGAAGACGTAATAACCGAAAACAATCATACGGAAAATTTCGAGAAGCTGGAATCATTCTGCTCAGTGCTCGCCTTTCCTGACTTGACTGATAATGTATTTCTTGCTTGAGGAACTTTTTTTAAATTACGGCTTAACGCAGCCAGTGACCTAACCTTATTTAAATTACTCAAGATCACACACACGCACGCACACACACACACACACACACACACACACACACACACACACACACACACACACACACACCCACACACGCGACCTCCCATAGCCCACCCATAACAAATGCTAATATTGATGTAGTTTGAGCACTTATACAAATGTCAGGTATTAGTGAGCGTGAGGGGGAGGAAGTGAGGGGCGAGAGGTGAAGAGCGGTGAGGGGGAGGAAGTGAGGGGCGAGAGGTGAAGAGCGGTGAAAGGTGAAAGGGGGAGGTGGGAGGTGAGGGGAAGAGAGTGAGAGGTTAAGCGTGAGGGAAGAAGAGGGGAGAGAGGGGTGTGAGGAGAGAAGAGGGTGAGGGGAGGTGAGTGGGAGGTTAATCGTGAGGGAAGAAGGGAGAGTGAGGGGAGAGTGAGGGGAGGGTGAGGGAGGAGAGACTGAAGTGAGCAATAAACCAGAGGAAAGTGTCGTTCGTCTGGAGAAGTCAATGGCAGGGAAGGAGCTGACGATGTGATTACAATATAGAGAGAAGACGAGGGAATGGTGGGGGGGCGGGGGTGGGAATGATTGGTTGGTAGCAGGAATGACAGGGTAATAGAATGACAATAGTTTAATTAGGTGGGATCAGGTGGGTGGTGGGTGGATGGGTGGGTTAGGTGGTGGGGTGGATGGGTGGGTTGGGTGGTGGGGTGGATGGATGGGTGGAGTTAGGTGGTGGGTGGATGGGTGGGTTGGGTGGTGGTGGATGGGTGGAGCAGGTGTTGGGTGGAATTGGGGAAACAGGTGGTGAGATTGGATGGGTGGGTTAGGTGGTGGGGTGGATGGGTGGGTTGGTGATGGGTGGATGGGTTGGGCCAGGTGGTGGTGGATGGGTGGGGCGGGTGATGGGTGGATGGGTTGAATGGCCCGGGTGGTGGTGGATGGAGTGGGGCAGGTGGTGTGGTGGATGGGTGGGGCAGGTGTGGTGGTGGATGGGTGGGGTCAGGTGGTGGATGGGTTAGACGGGTGGTGGTGGTGGGTGGAGCCAATTGGTGGTGGATGGGTGGGGCGGGTGGTGGTGGATGGGTGGGCCAGGTGGTGGTGGATGGAGTGGGGAGACGGAGTGTTGGATGGGTGAAACAGGTGTGGTGGGGTGGATGGGTGAGGCCAGATGGTGGTGGATGGGTGGGGGCCAGGTGGTGGATGGGTTAGGCCAGGTGGTGAGTGAATGGGTGGGGGCCAGGTGGTGGTGGATCGTTGGGCCAGGTGGTGGTGGATGGGTGGGGCAGGTGGTGGTGGATGGATGGGCCAGGTGGGGGATGGGTGGGGCAGGTGGTGGTGGATGGGTGGGGAGCCCAGGTGTTGGGTGGGTGGGAAACAGGTGGTGGGGTGGATGGGTGAGGCCAGGTGGTGGTGGATGGGTGGGGGCCAGGTGGTGGATGGGTTGGGCCAGGTGGTGGTGGATGGGTGGGGCAGGTGGTGTGGTGGATGGGTGGGCCAGGTGGTGGTGGATGGGTGGAAACAGGTGGTGGGGTGGATGGAGTGGGGCCAGGTGGTGGGGTGGATGGGTGGGGCTGGTGGTGGATGGGTTGGGCCTGGTGGTGGTGGATGGGTGGGGCCAGGTGGTG